GTCCCGAAGAGATCGCAGCGGGTCATCAGCGCCCCGCCCGCGTCGAGGAGGGCAAGGCCGATGCGCCCCTTCGAGTTCCCCCAGCCCTGGTCCTTAAAACTCAGAGCCTGGACCACGACTCTCTCGACAGCGAGCTCCAGCGGCGCGGACCGCACCGCAACGTGCCACTCATCGTCCGGCTCCGCCGACCTCACGAGCCGCCGGAGGGCGACGCGAGGACGCAGGCCGACCATGTCCTCGATCTGTACGCCCTCCTCCCGCAGGAAGCTCTGGGCCGCAGCCTGGTCCGCCGCGAGCTCTCGGTACACCGCGACTTGCGCCCGCCTCAAGTCCTTTAGAGTTCAAGTTTGTATTATTCCACATAACGCGCGTTATGTGGCTGGGTGGGTGGGTGGGGTCGCTGGCGCATAACATAACACAGCCGCGCCCGGCCGCTCGAATGGTTGTATGCACACATTCTGATGCAGCAGCCTATGCGCGCACCACATCGCGCGTGTACACCACAGTGCATGGCGCATGGCAGTGATCACGTAAACCGCAGAAACTGCGTATACGACTGTAAACGCGCCATACCACAAAGTTTTTTCACACCCTTTGCTGCGCCCACAGCAGCACGTTCCGCGCGCACAACGCAGTCGCGCCTGGCCGCTCGAATGCTGATTGTGCTGGAAGGACTGCCCTTTGTTGCTATTTGTCATAGCAATCATGCAACGAAAGGGCCTAGCAGCTGCGAGTGCTACACAGCGCCGCAATGCCCACGAACACGACGCATGCTGATGCAGCAACCTACGCGTGCACAACATCGCCAGCGTACGTCGCAACGCACGGGCGCACAACAGCGCCTGTGTATACAGCTGTCAACGTGCACACCACCTGTAGTACGCCAGCGAAAAAAAACGCTTGCGACCCGGCAGCCACGACGCGCCTATGTCCAGCGCCACAATAGTTTGCGGTCCGATCAACGCGACGTGCCCGTAAACGGCACAATGCTTTTGACGAGCGCAGCGTCTGTGAACGCCACAGCGCTTGTGAACACCAAAGCGCCTGTCAACGTAGCGCCTGCGAACGCCACAGCGCCCGTGAATGCCGCATCGCCTGTGCACGCGACATAACCAGAAAACGCCACAGCCGGTGTGAGCGCCACAACGCCTGTGAACACAGCGCGCGCGAGCACCGCAGAGCCTGGGGCCCGGCGGCAATGCGCACGCACTTACAGCACAAGTAGCAGTGGTAATAGCAGTGGTAATAGCAGTGGTAGTAGTAGTAGTAGAACTAGTAGTAGTAGTAGTAGTAGTAGTAGTAGTAGTAGTAGTAGTAGTAGTAGTAGTAGTAGTAGTAGTAGTAGTAGTAGTAGTAGTAGTAGTAGTAGTAGTAGTAGTAGTAGTAGTAGTAGTAGTAGTAGTAGTAGTAGTAGTAGTAGTAGTAGTAGTAGTAGTAGTAGTAGTAGTAGTAGTAGTAGTAGTTAGTAGTAGTAGTAGTAGTTAGTAGTAGTAGTAGTAGTAGTAGTAGTAGTAGTAGTAGTAGTAGTAGTAGTAGTAGTAGTAGTAGTAGTAGTAGTAGTACGTAGTAGTAGTAAGTAGTAGTAGTAGTAGTAGTAGTAGTAGTAGTAGTAGTAGTAGTAGTAGTAGTAGTAGTAGTAGTAGTAGTAGTAGTAGTAGTAGTAGTAGTAGTAGTAGTAGTAGTAGTAGTAGTAGTAGTAGTAGTAGTAGTAGTAGTAGTAGTAGTAGTAGTAGTAGTAGTAGTAGTAGTAGTAGTAGTAGTAGTAGTAGTAGTAGTAGTAGTAGTAGTAGTAGTAGTAGTAGTAGTAGTAGTAGTAGTAGTAGTAGTAGTAGTAGTAGTAGTAGTAGTAGTAGTAGTAGTAGTAGTAGTAGTAGTAGTAGTAGTAGTAGTAGTAGTAGTAGTAGTAGTAGTAGTAGTAGTAGTAGTAGTAGTAGTAGTAGTAGTAGTAGTAGTAGTAGTAGTAGTAGTAGTAGTAGTAGTAGTAGTAGTAGTAGTAGTAGTAGTAGTAGTAGTAGTAGTAGTAGTAGTAGTAGTAGTAGTAGTAGTAGTGGTAGTAGTAGTAGGGAGGGAGGAAGGGGAGGAGGAAGGAGGGAAGGAACGACGGGAGGAGAGGGAGGGCGAAAAGCAACACCAGGACAGATTGCGAAGCTCCCCACAGACGAAGGGGGCCCCCGAAGACCCGTCGAACCACAACGGCTTGAGCCATGTAAACGCAACAACTCGGACGTCCGCGCGGGGTTCTTGCGTCGGCGCTGGGCCGCTTAGCGGTGGTTCCGGGAAAACGCGGTCCGGCGCCGTTCCAAGGAACCCGCGCGGACCTCCGAGTTGTTTCGTTTATGTCGTTTGGTTCTCTACGTAGGCACGCCCCGGCGGGCGACGCCTTCTTCTCCCGCCGCCGACGGGCGACGCCGTGCCTGGTCGCCTAGGACAGGCAACCAGGCGATTGTGGAGATCTCTGAAATCCCTGGTGACTACGATCCCTGGAGATGTGCAATGGCCGCTGCACATCTCCAGGGGTCGTTTTGGAGCCGTCTTGGTGCCCTCCCGGAGCCATCTCGGAGCCTCCTGGGAGCCTCTTGGTGCCTCAAGGGGCTTAAAGGGGCCCCAAGAGCGTTCGAAGAGGGCCTCAAATAGGGTGTGCAATTGCGCACCGTCAGACGCCTTCTCGGAGCTCTCTTGGGGTCCTCTTGGGGCCCTCTTGGGATCCTCTCGGAACCTTTTTGGGCCCCCGCTGGTCCCTCTTAGGGCCTTGTTGGGGCCCGTTTTTTTTGGGGGGGGTCAAGAGAGCCCGGAAGTCCGCGGGGATCTCCGGAGGTTTGGAGGGCCCGAGGGTGCCAAAATTACATGGACATACGTACATCGTGCAGGACATAGTTACATCGTGCAGGCTTGATGGCCACTGCAGTTGGTTGAGGCTGTAGGTGAGGCCTCTCCTTCCTCCTTCCTTCTAGGCCTCCTCTTCCCGCCTCGCCGTCTCTGCCTGTCCACACTCCCGGAACGAAGGGCTGAGAGCGAGATGAATCCGCATCACCTCAGGAGGGCTTTGAACGAAGCAGCGCCAGCCATTACTCAATTTACTGTCAACCGTGATTGCTGACGCATGCGAGCACGGTGCCTGTACCACACGCCGGAAGGAGAATTCCCCCCATGCCACTGACGCTGGTTCCCAATGCAATGCAACTCCCTCCTCCTCCTCCTCCTCGCCGTCTGCTTTCTTCTCCTCCTGCGCCTACCTCTCGCCCTCCTCGTCCTTTTTTTATGGAGCGCGGGCGGGCCCGAAGACGCTGGTGACCGTCTCCAAAGAAGAGACGCTACTGAGCAGCCGCCCGCCTGGTAGGACCGCGTCGGGCGTTCCCGACGGGCGGCTCGCGCCAGAACGGCCCCAGTCGACACTACGCGGGCGGACAAACTTCCCCCCCCCCCCCGAGGTCGCCGCCGAGTCTGCACGACAGCTGGAATGTAATCCGCCGCCGCGCCTGCACGGCAATGCCGTGTTAGAAAGCCCGTGGACTGTCTGGCTGGGTTTATATTTTCTTCTGGACGACCCTCCCCGCTACTAACGTCGGTACGTCGGCACGAATGCACCCCTGTGCCTGTATACACATCCGCATGTACATGCGTACACGTACACCACAAAGCCCGTGTACACCTCCAGGGCACGGCCCCATACCCCCGTTGCCTGCGCGGACAACAGTAATTATCTTTGCGTACGACAATGCTGGACACCACCGCGCCTGTGTGCACCACAATTGCCGCCGCAGCCGGCGTGTGCGCTATGCACGCCGAACTGCTCGTTGTTTCCACTGCTGGGTGTGCCGCCGCGCCTGCGTGGGTGCCACATCAGCCTGCGCGCGCCACGCGCCTCTACATACCACAAGCAAATGCCTGCGCACGCTGCAAACACGTTGCGCGCGCACTACGAACAGCATACCTGCGCGCTAAACAACACGCGCTGCTGCAACGGGGGTGGGTGGGGCGTCGGGCGTTATGTTATCTACTGGGTGGGTGGGTGGGTTGGAGGCCACATAACGCGCGTTATGTGTTCGAGTATAAAAACTTGAGCTCTTAGGAAACCAAGAGATACCCATACCGCTACCTCCCAGGCCCCAGACCTCTCCCAAGGCGCGCTCTGACCAGGATCTCGAGGAGAGTCCGGCCTCGGGGATCTTCTGACCCGGGCCAATCCAAACCCAAGTCAACGGGAAGCCAACAAAAACTGCAATGCAAGAAAACAACAAACTGCAACGCAGGTCTTCCCAGACCCGGATCAACCAATATTCGCGGCCGCCTGGCGGCCACGAGCGGCTCGCTAACCCGGGTCAGCCAGAGGGGGTCTTCGCAGGATCCTGCAGGATCCGGTGCCCTGGCTGATGCCCGTTTGCATCGACCCCCGTCTCTTGAGCCCCGACGGCCGTGGAGGCGAGGGCGTCCGGGGAGCCCCCCAAAGAAGAGCGAGAACGAGGACAGGGCAGCGGCTCGGGCGCCCTCTCCTCCTCTGAGGTCCCCTGGACCTGCCCCGGGTTGCGCTCTGACCAGGATCTCCCCTGGATCTCTCCCGGGGTACGCTCTGACCAGGAGTCACCGCAGTGGTGACTATGGGCCTCCCAGGAGGCCCAAGGGGGCGGACACGAGGCTAGGGCCACAGTGTCGATACCTGAAACATCCAGCGCGATACCCCGCCGAGACATCGGATACGCGCCTCCGATGGCGAATCCGCGCGTTCCTTGGCGGGGTGGGCTATCGGGCCCCTATCGGCGATGTATGGACGGGCGATTGGGCATCATTGCGTCTTCCCCGGAGAAAGGAAGAAGAAAAGTAATAACAGTCAGAAGAAAGGGAACAATAATAATAGGGAAGGACTACTACCAATACTAATGCTAATAATAATCGTAATAATATTGCATTTCTAAAAACAACAACAACAACAACAACAACAACAACAACAACGTGTGGACAAAAAAGAAAAAGAAACGGCTGAGACAGAGCAATTCGGAGGTCCCCCCTCCCTGGCGCGCGGAGTGCGCCAGGGGCCGCGCTGGAGGCGCCGACGGGGGGGCCCACGCGCAGATCCGAGACATCTGCACCAGAGGTCAGGCCGTCTGGCCTTCCTGAGCTCTCTCATCCCCGACCCGAGCCCGGGGAAGCCGAAAAGTACGGATGCCGCGCCTCCCCGAACCTCCCCCAGGGTGCGTCCTGACCAAGACTTGAGTCGGGCCTGTCCCCCTACATAAGGATTTTCGATGAAAAATGAAAAATACCCAAAACATGATCCAAAAATACTCCAAAAATAGTCTGGGGACAATTTGTGTTAGTATTTTTTGATCTTTTTGGAATATGTGTATGGTATTTTTAGTTTTTCGTCGAAAATCCTCCTGTAGGGGGACACGCCCGACATAAACCAAGACCTCGAGGCGAGTCCAGCGACGGCGGCGCGGGCGTCCCAGGAGGACAAGCGAAAGGGGCGCACGAGGGAGGGGCGCCTGCCTGGGCACTTGCCCCTTCGTGGGGGCGCGCAAGCATGGATTAGCTAGCGATCCTCCTCCTCTTTCTTCATCCTCCGGTGATAAAGGAATTTGTTATTTTGGTCGCTAGGCTGCCCCGTCGGGGGCGCAACCGCACTGTTGCTTGCTTGCCATCGACTTGGCGCGCGGTCCCAAATCCATGTATCGGCGAGGTGCCCTCCCCAAAGTGCGGCCGGTGCCGCCTCGCTCGGCGGCGGAAATCCGCGGTCTCCCGTGGCAGCGGGACCCGTCGCAAATCCACGCCCCCCTGATCCATGTTTGCGATCGCCTGACGCCTTCCTCCTCTCGGGCCGGGCGATAGGGGGGGATACCAAAAGGGGGGTTTGAGAATCAGCTCACGTGGCTGATTCTCCCGGCGCCTCCCGGCGCCGAAGGCGCCCATGGATCGAGGCATGGGCCCCTCGGTGGGGCCGAGGTTGTGTCGAGCGACACGCAGCAAATTTCGTACCCCCCCCTGTCCCTCTCCCCCCCTTTCGTCCGACCCCCTCCTCCCGGACATCCGACGTCTCGAATTTTTGGAGATGCGGGCCCCCGACCTCCCGACCACTTCCCTGGGGCCGGTTTTTCATCCCGAGCCGTTTTTTGACGGTCCCGAGGCCCGGCGAGGGCCCCGAGAGGCCAAAAACAATGGAAAACCTCCGTCTCGATTTTTTCGAGACGCCCGAGGTCTGGGCTCGCAGAGGCCCCCCCCCCCTCCCGTGGCCCCCGAGGTCGTCCTCCCCCCGCCGCCGCGCCAGCTCCAGGCGCAAGCGCGCCACCGCCGCGCCGCCCGTGCCGCAGGCCGCCCCGACCCGGCCGCACGCCTCGACCCACGCGGCCGCCTCTGGAGGCGCCCGGGGACGCGCAGACAGATCGGGACACCGATCCCAGGATCCAGGGGCCTCCTAGATTGACGACCTACCAGACCACCCCAACCCAACCCGAAGACCCGAATTTCGGGTTGGGGGGGGTGAGGGTTCCACATGTGTTTTCTCGATGCTTCCCGACCCCCCCCCACTGGAAATCGATGGTAAATCTGAGCCTTCGGGTTTGGTTGGGGTGGTTAGGTGGGTGGTGATAGATGGGGTCCGAGCAGATGGGGTCGGAGGATCGCGCCGTGCCGCCGATACATCGCCGATGCACTGGCGATGCAGCGGCGACGTCGACGTGAAGCACATCGGGCTCCACGTCGAGCCGCATCGGCGATGCACACGCGATGTGGAGCGATCCTCCGACCCCATCTGCTCCGACCCCATCTGGGAGGCCTGGAGGGTCCCCATCTTTGCTCCAATATACTCTCCGGGTTCTCGTCGTCCCCCCCCCACACACCTCCCAGATCCTCCCCTGCTCTCCTGGGCGTCGACGATGCCTTGTGTCCGTGTGTTGCTTCCCCCCCTGAGCCTCTAAAGGGGCCCCAGAACACACACACACACACACACACACACACACACACACACACACACACACACACACACACACACACACACAAACACACACACACATACACACATATATAAAAATGTTCCCCAAATTTTCGCATATTTTCTTAGCTTTTGTCTTCCCCCCGACTTCCCATATTTTCGCATGCTTTCCTGGGCGTCGACGATGCCTTGTGTCCGTGTGTTGCTTCCCCTCCGGAGCCTCCTCCAGCCGGCCAGCCTCCAGCGCGGCGCGCGCGGATGCCTCCAGAGCGGCGGCGCGCGCGGCGAAGCCGGGACGGTCCTCCTCGCGGCGGCGCGCCGAGGGGGAAGGCGGCGGGGCTCGAGCTAGAAAGCAGTCCAGAGGGTTCCAAAGGGGGGGTTTTGGGAACGGGGATTTTCCAGAGAGCCCCCAGGGGCCTCGGAGCCTCGTCAAGACAGGGGGTGCGAAGCCCCTGGGGGAGCCCTCCTGGAAAACCACCTCCTCAAAAACCCCCTTTGGAACCCTCCGGGCAGTGTTTCTCGTTTCAATTTCGTTTTTGGGTTCCTCCGTTCTGTGCTCGTTCTAGGGAACCGAACTCTATACACCAACGCTTTTGTCCAGCCCTGCACGGAAACTCTCACGAGAAAGCGGATCCTGGTGTATACGGCGTCCTGGTGTATACATTGTTTCTTCCTTTCCCCTGGGGAAGCGGGGAAAAGTGTACACCACACCACCCCGACGTCGTCCCCGGCCCTGAGAACTTCCTGGGATTGAGCAGCAGCCCGCCACGGGTAGTGCACATGCTCCAGTTTCCGACTGGCCGCGAGACGACAGCCAGAGAGGAAAGACGGTCCACGAGATCGTCCAAACACCGAGCAGCTCGAGCCCTGGAAGGTGGGAGGGGGCAGGCCTTCTCGGAGGGCGGCGGGGCTGCTCGGAAGCTCCCTCCCAGGACGGGGCCAGGCAGAGGATCGAATCGGGCGAGGATGAAGATCGAGAATCTCTGAGATGCCCGCGGCTCTGGAGGATGTCTCGGGCGCCGCGGCCTTCTTGGAGCGTCCCAGAGCGCTACGAAAGGGTTCCGGAACGCTCTGGAACGGATCTATCCATTCGTCCTGGCCCCGTCCGAAGGGGGCAGGCCTCCTCGGACGGCGGCAAGGCTTCTCAGGAGCCCTCCCTTAGACGAGCGCGCGTCAATGCTCGCAAAGGGACTACTCGCAGATGCCCTGGATCCGCCGCGGGGGATCTGCGACAAAAACTGCGCCGAAGCAGACATGTGTTTTGCGGACGTTTGGGAGTACTAGTAGGCACTTTGCGAGTGCTGGCCTTCTGAGACGGCCGGAGGCCTTCTGAGCCCTTCGAGGAGGCCCGCCCCCATCTGCCTTCCCCCCTGGGTGCGCCGCCGATCCTCGGCGAGGGAGCGGTAGATGCACCAGGAGGCAGCTGCTGGGAGGTCTTCGCAAGAGGGATGCGGAGGGCTGCGACGCTCGAGCAAAAGGGGCCGATGGGCCACAAACCTGGGGGACAAGCCGGTCCACGCAATAGCGGGCCGAACCAAATGGAGTCTGGTTGGATTGGCTGGGCTTCCAGCCGCGGTTATGCCAGCGTCGATGCCGACTCTAACGTCCCAGGAGCTGCATCCTGAACTGCGGATGTAGATCTGCGCCATCTCTGGAGGGGTCGCTGGCTGGCCACGCTGCGAGGCGGGGATGCAGCCATATCCACCGCCAAAGGGTACCCAATGCGCGGATCTCGGGAGGCGGTGGACATGGAAGCATTTGGGCCGAAGGGGGCCCAAACTGATCCGTATCCATCGACCCCTGGGGTCCCAGTGTATCAGTTTCCCAGGAGGTGACGCATACATCCACGCATCGCACATGTGACTCGACTGCCTCGAGGCGCAGCTCCGCAAACATCCGTGCCTTGCTGGTGTACGTTGCGTCGCCCAGGTCGTCGATGAACTGCTCGGCCGCAGCCATGACTTCATGGAAGTGGCCGAGCTCTCCTTCTTGCAACATCTTCCTCGCGGTCGCCGCCATGTCGTCCAACCTGCGTTCCTTGAACTCCTGCAGCTTGCTCTTAAGGTGAACCAGCGGGTAAACGTCCCTCTTCAGCGGAGACCGCGTAAACGGGCAACTGCTGAACCTCAGAGTCCCTCTCTCGTCGAGGGCAGAGCCGCGATCGAGTACGTACCCCGAGGACAAGACGACTGGATCCCTCATCAGTGTCATGAACAGGGGGTCCAGCAACTCATCTGGGGCGTCGCCCGTCAAGCTGGCTAAGTGCCGCGACAAGAATTCTGGGTGGCGGATGGCCGATGTGGACCTCTCGAGCACCAGCAGACCCAAACCGGCGGGGCATCCTCCTTCCGTCACCACCTCGCGGGCGACCCTGTGCAGCTCGCCGTCGCCCAAGCGGCCGGCGAGGATCGGGTCGGACGAGAAGGGGCAACACAAAGGGGGGGGGCTACAGTGGAGGCCCGACCACGAGAAACTTTCCACAAGAAACCCCACCCTGGAACCCCAGGACGCCCATTGACTTCCGATGTGGGAACGTCGCGCTCCCCATGGCAAAAAGCCATCGGAACCCAAGAAACACAGGGCACCCTGGAGACGAGCAGGGTGTTTCTTTGACGAACGGCCAACACGCACCCACACCCATAGGGGGGTCGGTGGGAGGAGGACTGGCTATGGGTATGGGTGCGGGTGGTCGGACCCTGGGGAACGCTCCCGTTCGAGCGGGCACCCCCATCCGACAACACGCACCCACAGCCTTCTCCGACCCCCCCATGGGCATGGGTGTGTGTTGTTAGCTCGTCATTTCTTGGCATGGGCCCCCGAGGAGGAGGAGGAGGAGGAGGAGGAGGAGGAGGAGGAGGAGGAGGAGGAGGAGGAGGAGGAGGAGGAGGAGGAGGAGGGGGGGGGATGGGGGTACCGAAGCAGCTTGCGCCGCGCATCTCCCCGGCGCCCCCCGGGGGCCTGGGCGCGCCCACGCCTCGAGAGCAGCGCCCGGCGCCGGAGCCGACACCAGCTGCACGCAGCACAGTTCGCTTCCCCCCCCAGGATCTGGTGGTCCCAGCGTGCTTACAGGGCAGGTTCTAATACATGGGATTTGAAAAATCATAGGAGTCTTAATCGATGATTAATTCATGAAAAAATTAGTGCATAAACTCATCCTTGTACTTATCAATCAACCCTGTATTTTTGATACATGGTCCGCACGCGGAGCATGTATTAAAAACGGCACTGTAAGGACCATCCTATAGATAGTTCCGAGCACCCGGGAAAATATCGAAACAGCGTCGAACGAGTATCGCCTCCCAGGGCACGCCACGTGGAAACCCTACAGGTTCCATGCTTTCTCGGTGCTCGAAATTCTTTCTGGTGGTCACGGCTAAAACAGGCTCGAACATCATTACCCAGGATCCTCATCGTCTGGCTTTAGCTCGAATCTCCGGCAGCCGACTGGGATGATTTGGGCCCCCCCGAGACGCTCGGCGAGGCGCAGCTGCTGGAGAGCAACCCGAGGCTGGAGAACCGCCGAGAGCAAACCAAAACGTAAGAAAAAACGTCCGAAAACATTGACTCTACAGGACGAGCAACGGTATCGGTACCAGTTCCTCCGCTGAGACATCCTACCCCCGCCTTTCCCAATCCCCACCCCCGCTGAGGAGGTCGATGCTACCGGCCTCGGCCCGACCACCCCTTGGAGGAGAGAGCCATGCTCGACCTGGGATTTCCTCCAAAAGGCCGAGAACCTCCCAAGGAGGCCCCTCTCGACCTGCTTCAATCCCCTGTCCCAGGAGGCCCCTCCGCTGAGATGTCCTATCCCCACCGTTCCCATTCCCCCCCCCTTTTGCGCCCGACCCGAGAGGAGGCCCGTGACGCGGTCCAGGGCCACGCCCGCCTGCAACAGCTCGCGGGCGAGCCGCGCGTCGTCCCCAGCCTCCGCGGCGTCGGCGGCCGCCCCGCTGCGCGCGGGCTCCGCCATCGCGGCGCGCCCATGGCACGCTCCCTGTGGGCACAGTGGCTGCCGCGCTTGAGCCAAGAGGATGGACGTCTTGCCAGGAGGCAGCTGGCAGCAGGAATATCTGCAAGCAGGGGGTGGAGGCCAGAGTGATACTGTGAGGCAGCCCAGCCCGCTTCCCCCGAAAGTGAGGGGGAAAGAGAATGGACAGCAGTGCGCCGCACTGCCGCCCTCACAGAGGCAGCCAAGAGGAAAAACGAAAATGAGAGGTTTGCTAGGGGAAGAAGAGATGAAGGAACAGAGGACGAGAATTCTCGCCAACCATCTGGACACAGGCGGTTTAATGGATCAGCTCTTTTAGAACCCATTCTTCCCCTCCACGGATGCCTTTGCTCTCCAGGATCTAGACAGGTCTCCCCTGCGACAGATTCGAGTGTCCAGTATTGCCATACAGCTACAGCATGCCCCGATGTCTCTCCCACATGAGACTCAAATGCGGCTTCGATAGGCCAATATGGCCTTCCACATGGCACAATATTGCCTAACCTCGCTCAAGATGGCTTCAAACATGCCTCCGAGAGGCCCCAGAATCGCTAGAAGGCGGCCCGATGTGGCCACGTCGCTTCCCAAGGATGCACCCTAGATAATTCACCAGCTCGTTGGACTTAGGTGGTCTAACGGGTTTCCTTTCCTCTTCCAGAACCCCTCTTCCCTTCGGGCAGGCCCCCCCCTCACTTCCCCGACGCGTTCTTCGGGCGGGCCGCGATTGGCCAGGGCGCCCAGGATGGTCCATGATTGCTCCAAGATGGCCTCCGATGCTCCAAGATGGCCCCCAAGGCGGCTCAAGATAAAAAGAAGATGGTTCAGGGTACCTTCCAATATACCTCCTAGAGGCCCGACGAGGGCCACAACACGGTTCCAGGTGCTCTAGGAGTTCCCAGCACCCCCCCAAGAGGCCATCACCCTTCAAAAACCTAAGGGTTATCAATGATGTTTGCCTTCGTACACGTTCGCTTCTGATGCGCTTTTGAGGACTCAGGATGGCACCAATATGGCCGGAGAGAGTCCCAAGAAGGGCTCTAAAAAACCACAGGTGGGCCCCCAGAACGCCAAAGATCAGCCCACAAACGACCCAGAGGGCGACGTTGATGGCCCCAGGGGGGCGGGGGGGAGGGGCGGAAATTTAGGACCCGCCCCCTCATCATATTGATAGCCTACAAGGTGGCCTCAAGGGGCCCGTCAAGGCTCCCCAAGATAACCCCAAGAGCGCCCAAGAGCACCTCAAGAGCGCCCCACGAGGCGGTGTGCCTCCTCCTCCTCCTGCTCGTCCTCCTGCTACTACTCCTCCTCCGTCCCTCGCCCGCGTTCTCCATGGATCAGCCGAACTTTGCAACACCATAGGCGTCTCTTCGTCCCTTCCCCCGCCAGCCCTCGTGGGCGGGGTTCTGCACGGCCTTGTGTGGGGTACTGTCTGGTACGCGGGCGCGCGAAGACGAGTCGGACGCCGAGCAAGCTGGTGCGGGCCGCGCCGTGGAGGAAAAAACGCGAAGCGTGACGAATTGTGTTCTCGCCGAGTTTCGCCTTACGTGCTGTTCGCTTCGGATTGGCCTCTGAGGCTTCAAGATGGCTCAAAGGCAATCATCTCCGAAATCGATCCTCGGACCTCTCCACGGAAGCGTGCTGGCCAGAAATTCGGTGCGGATCCAGCCGTGGCGACGAGAAGCCTCCCCGAGACACGAGACGGGCGAAACATTCGGAACAAAACCTCGACCCTCGAACCTCGCTGCTCCTCCTACTCCTCCTCGATCCTCGGACCTCGATTGTCGAAGCTCGATCCTCCTCCTCCTCTTCCTCCTCCGCGGGCTGCTAAGAGGGGCCTTGTGCTTGGTCTTGCCCCCGCGGCCCAGGATGAACGCGGAATCGCACTCCGTGCCGCTGCGGCCCGCTCTCTGGAGCGACGCCGGCAAGGTTGTCGGACGAGAAGGAGGGAGAACATGAGGAAGAAACAATACATCAGACACGATTCCGATGCAATTGGGGCCGATTCGTCTGTTGCCCTCCTCACTTACGAGCAGCACTCGCCGCGAGACAATAGCACGGAGCTTGAGAGAATCCTCGCATGTGGAAGCAAAACGCGATTTGCAGGAAGGTTGGAACCAAGAGAAGGAGGCCGAGGAGGAGGGGGAGGAGGAGCTCGCCGTCGTCCTCGGAGCAGGGGGTGGAAGGGAGCAGGGATGGAGGAGGGAGGAACCGAGAGTCAGATGGCTCCGCAAAGTGCACGCAAACTGGGGTGACCACGACGATTTATGCGCGGCTATCCTTAGCCGCGCGAGTAGTCGCTCGGGGAGACTCCCGTTCGCGGGTGGCAATGGGCCTTGAGACTTCGTAGGTTCGTAGTACGGTCCCTGCTGAGGGCCCAGTTCGCAGGGCCCGCGCAACTGGCCATCAGTCGGGAATACTTCCGGGCGGAGGCCGATCCCCCACAGATCAGACAGCACACATCGTGTGGCCCCTCTGTGGCCATCTGATGGCCACGGAGGCGCAGGACATCAGGCTCAGCACCACCAGACACGGTCGGCGCCTGCGGTTGGGCCTCCGCGGAGGCACCGCCCCCGAGAAGACAGGCCGCCACCTGGCCCAGCACCCGTGGCGGCCTCCCCGGACGGCCCAGCCCACCCGAGCACCCCGCACGGGGGACTCCGCGGTCCGGCAGCCGAGGACGACCCCCGGCAGCGGGCCCCAGCGGAGCGGTCGGCAGCACGCGGCGCGACCTGGACGGCCTCACACCGATCGGAGGGGAGAGGAGCGGAGGACGAGGGAAGGCTCCAATCGGCTATACGCAAGAGTGACCCTGGGTACAAGTGATCTTTGGTGCGCGACTTTTTGGGGGCCGCGGGGGGACCAAGCCTGGGCGCCCAACCAGCCTGGGGCCGTTTTCAGCCATCTGGGGACCCATCTGTGCCCGCACCAAAGGTCACTCCGGCGAAAGGTCACTCTTACGTCTAGTCGATCCAAGACGCCCCGAGTGGTCCTGATAGGCAAGCGGCGTCGTCGTCAACATCGTCAAAATCCTCGCCATTATCTCCATCCTTCTCCTCCTCATGATGATCGCCACGCTCTACTCGCCCCTGCCCTTCCTTCGTGCCCCCCCCGAGCGACCTTGCTAAGGACCTTGCTCGCCTCACTCTCCTCCTATTCATTCCCCCCCTGTGCTCCTACTCCTCCTCATCCGCCTCTTCCTCCTGTCCCCCTCTTCATCTTCCTCCCCATGCTCAGCGCCCTCCTCCCCAACCTCAGGGTTGGCGGCACCGGCCGTAAGGCCTTCGCAAAAATATGAGGATGGGGCGATCATAGCCCCGGCCATGCTATACCCCACCCTGTCCGAACCCACTTTTGGACGCCCTCGATCCTCCCTGAAGGTCAGGCGAGGGGGGGAGGCCTTCTATGAAGGCAAGGGGGACCGGACAGGACAGGACAGACGCCGATGTGCGCCCCGGGGGGCGGCACTCTAAGAACTCGGCGGGGGCGCCAGAGCGCCGAAACTCAGATGTCATAGTACACGGTTACTTTACGATCTCGAGTGTGTAGTTACTATCGGCTCCGGTGATACAATCCTTCCCATGAGTTCGAAGGCAAGGGGGCTTCTTGGAAAGCAGGGTGCTTCTTGGAAGCGCCCCGAGGCTTCAAAGGAGTCGCCTTCTTAGAAGCCTCCAGTCCCTCCAAAAAGGCCCCCGCCTTCTAGGAAGCAACCCGACTTCTTGGAAGGCCCTACCCCTCGCCAATGTATCAAGGAACACGCCAGGCGGCGAGGCCGTAACCAGCTGCATGCAGCAGATTTCGCACTCTGTCCTAACCCCCCACTACACACACTGTCGTCTGGCCTGGGCATCCTGAGGCCGGACATACCCCCCCAGAAGCCTCGGGCTCGGTGGCTCCGAAACTCTGCAAGCCTGGGGGGAGGTTATTTTGGGTGACCCAAGAGAAGGGAGTCCAGCTGAAAGGGGGTGGTGCAACAGAGATGGGGCAATAGATTTGTGGCGTGCAATGCAGTCGGAGCGGCTAAGAGGGGGGTGTCCAAGAGGGGGGGTGCAAATCATGACCGGCAGCATGAGCGCGGCCCAGCGGGGGAGCCAGGGACGTAATGAAACAAAAAAAAGGCGCCATGAAACCTGGGGAAAGATCATGGCCCCCGCCATGATGTCCAACCACTCCCCCTAGTCATCACCCCCCTCTTTTCCGCCCCCGACACTCCCCAGACCTCTCCCGGGTTGCGTCCTGACCAGGACTTCGAGGGCATCCAGCGGCGGCGACGAGGGCCACCCCGGAGGCCCGAAAAAGGCGGGAACACGAGGGAAGGGCAGCGGTCTCGGCACCTCCTCCTCCTCCTCCTCCTCCTCCTCCTCCTCCTCCCTCTCCTCCTCCTCCTCTTGAACCCGGGAGCTGCCGGATCCGATCGTTCTGGTGGGCGGGCGCTCGCCGCCAGGCGCTCCGGCTAGCTGGATGACCTCCGCGGCCCTCCGGGCGCCGCCGTCGCCGCCCCGCGAGTCGCCAGGCCGGCCTGCGGGGGGGGGTCGTCGTCGTCGTCGTCGCCGTCGCCGTCGCCGTCGTCGCCGTTGTCGTCGTCGTCGTCGTCGTCGTCGTCGTCGTCGTCGTCGTCGTCGTCGTCGTCGTCGCCGTCGTCGTCGCCGTCGTCGCCGTCGCCGTCGCCGTCGTCGTCGTCGTCGTCGCGGTCGCCGTCGCCGTCGCCGTCCTCGTCGTCGTCGTCGTCGTCGTCGTCGTCGACGTCGTCGTCGTCGTCGTCGTCATCGTCGTCGTCGCGGGGCCGCGGGCGGCGAGCGCGCGCGCCTCCTCGGGGGCGAGGGGCGGCTCCTCCTCCTCCTCCTCCTCCTCCTCACATTCCTCCTCCTCCTCCTCCTCCTCCTCCTAGTCTTCCTCCTCCTCTTCCTCCTTTTCCTCCTCTTCCTCCTCGTCGCCTCCTCCTCCTCCTCCTCCTCCTTCTCCTCTTCCCCCCGCCTCGAGAGCTCGGCCCCAGACTTCTCCAAGGGGGTGTGCTCTGGCCAGCAGCTGGGAGAGGAAGCGCTCAGGATGCGCAGGGAGGCCAGAGCACGTCGAGAGACATGGACCCTTGATCGTCGTCGCCGACTTCCTCCTCCTCCCCCTCCTCCTCCTCCTCCTCCTCCTCCTCCTCCTCCTCCTTCCCCTCCTCCTCCTCCTCCTCCTCCTCCTCCTCCTCCTCCTCCTCGTCCACGTCATTATCCTGCATCTTCCTTTGGCCGGGCTGGTGGGGGCCATTTCGAGAGGTCCTGTCTCTGGGGATGGAAGCCACCCGTGGAGACGACTAGACGGCTGCTGGGAAGGGCGCCCCCCTCACCCCCGTGTTGATCCTATCCCCGCTTGTCTTTCTTGCAGTGGAACTCTCTGAGGGTGAACGTTAAGAGAGGACCGCCTCAGGGGAGTGTAACATCGACCTGGAATCGGCGATAGATCGGCGATGGCCTCCGATTGCGAAACCGCACGCTCATGGCCTGGGTGGGCTATCGGGCCGCCTATCAGCGAGGAGTGGGCGATTGGGGGTCGATTGCTCAGGAATTCGCCGGCCCAACGGGCCAGAGGCGTGCTAAGGTCTCCGGTAACTGGTTAACAGTATCTCTAGTTCGCGCGCGCGGGGCGGCCCCTGGGGGTCCCCGGACGAAAAGTACCCCGGGCGATCCCCGACCGACCCCCGAGCGATCCCCGGGAGACTCCCCCAGAGCGCTCCAGGAGCGCTCCAGGAGCGCACCAACAGGGCTCTGAGACGTCCCCGAAACCCTCAAGACGGGTCCAGATGCCCCCAAGAGGCTCCCAAGATGGTACACAAGGGTTCCGAGATGCCACATGATCGCTCCAAGACGCCCAAGATGGCCCCCAGACGCCCCAAGAGGCCTCCAAGAGCACTCCCAAAAGGGCCCCAAGAAGCAAAATTCATAGCTTTTCCTTAGGTTTTGGAAGGATTTTGGCGCTTACACCTTTTCGGCTTCCCGACGTCCCAAGACGGCTCAAGAGGCTCCCAAAATCGCCCCAAGAGAGCCCAAGAGGCCCCCAAGAGCGCCCCAAGACGGCCCAAGAGGGCGTCCAGACGGCCCAGGAGGCCTCCAAGACGGCCCCATGGCCCCCAAGAACGTTCCCAAAAGGGCCCCAGAGGGGGAACACGAAACAAAATTTCGAGCCCTTGGCCCTAAGAAGCCCCCAGGAGGCGCCAAGAGGCCCCTTTCAAGCCCCAGGAGGCTCTCAAAAGGCCCTCGCGAGGCCCCCAAGAAGCTCCCAAGCGGCTCCCAGAAGCCCCACGATGCTCCCAAATGCTCCCAAAAGAGCTCCAAGAAACCCCAAAGAGGCTCCAACAGAAACCCAAGAGGCCCCCAAGAAACCCCCAACGAGGACCCAAAAAGGCCCCCAGAAGCCCAAACGCCAGCGAGGGCACAATACGGGCCGGCGGAATGAGCGAAGCGATTAATAACGCTCTCTCGCCTGCGACTTGATCAGGACATGCACAAAAAACAATCCCACCAGCCCTCTGGTCGTAGGTGGTTCAACGAACATGTTTTCTCTATCTGCCAGACCTCCCCCCCTCCCCTGCGCGGGGGAGGCGGTTACCCCTCCCTCTACCCGCCCCCCCCCCCCCCCCTGGGCCTGGGGGGGAGCGCGGGTAGTCCGAGCGCCCAAGATGGCCCAAGATGGCTCCAAGAAGGCCTCAGAGAGCCCAAGATGGCCTCCAAGATGGCTCAAGAAACCTCAAGATGGTTCAAGATAGCCTCAACACAAACACACACACACACACACGCACGCACGCACACACACACACACACACTTCCAAGGTGCCTAAAGACGGCCCAAAGACGGTTTCAAGTGCCCTACGAGCCCACCAAGGACTCCTTCAAACGCTTGACAACATCCATATGTATTGTCGTCTCGCCTTTGCGTTCCGATGGGCTCTCGAGGCCTCAAGATGGCACCAAGACGGCCCAAGAGGGGCCCAAGAGAGCCCCAAGAGGGGCCCAAGAGGGCGTCAAGAGAGCCCCAAGAGCGTCCCAAGAGCGTTCCAAGAGCGCTCCAAGAGCGGGACGCTGAATTCGTCTTTCCTCCGCTTTGGAGCCATGGGGCCCAAGAGGCCTCCCAGACTCCTCCAAGGAGCCCCACGACGGCCCCAAGACCTCCAACGTGAGCCCCAAGAGGGCCCCAAGAGTGCCCCGAGAGGCCCCACATTGGTCCTAAGAAAACCCCTAAGATGGCCTTCGTCTTGCTTCAAGAATCTCTCACAACCACATACCTCCAAAACCCGACTGCTCATTCTCCTGTCCGTTCCTCCCCTCCTCCTTTCCTGCCTCCTCATCGTATTGATTCCTCGTGCCGCATTCCTCCTCCTCCTCCTCCTCCTCCTCCTCCTCCTCCTCCTCCTCCTCCTCCTATTATTCCCCCTTCTCCTCCTTCTCTCTTGTTCTCCCTCCTCCTCCTCCTCCTCCTCATCATCCTCCCGCTCTTCCTGCCCCCAAGATGCTCCCGACCGACCTCCAAGAGGATTGCCCGAAATAGCCTCCGACTGACCTGCAAGAGGCCTCAAGACAGCCACCAGACGGTCTGAGATAGCTGAGCACGGCTCAGGATAGGCTCCGACAGCCTCTAGCCGAATCTGGCTCACGATAGCCTCCAAGAGGCCGAACCTCCGATCGTGTCTGGATGAGCTGTGGGAATACGCGAAGCGTTGATCGGGCCGGACGAAAGGGGGGGACTGGGAAAGCGGGGGGGTACGAAATCTGCTGCATGCAGCTGGTTTCGGCCCCACCGAGGGGCCCATTCCTGGATACATAGCCGCCTCCGGCGCCGGGAGGCACCGGGAAAATCAGCTACGTGAGCTGATTCTCAAACCGCCCCTTTGATATCCCCCCTTAGCCCGACCCGAATTGAGAATTCAATGTTCTGCCAGCTTGGCCGGGTCCGCCTGGCCGGTACGGCCCGCCCGCCCGGCCCGCCCGTCTGACTCCGCCCACCCAACCCGCCCCTCGTGGCACGCCGGGTCCACTGCTCGGACATCCCTCGGCCCACTTGGATGCCCCCCTGGGCATTCAAATGGGCCGGGGTACCCTCCTCCTCCTCCTCTTCCTCCTCCTCCTCCTCCTCCTCCTCCTTATCCTCCTCCTCGTCCTCCTCCACCGCCACAGGATGGACAGGAAAAAGTGTCCGTCCGGCATGTCTTTCACGGCGCGAGGGGTTCGGCGGGGGGCCTCTGAGCCTCGGCCGGCGGGGCGCGTTGCCCCCCCGGCCCGGGGGGGCGGAGAGGGCCCTGGCCGAGGGCGGCCGCTGTGGTGCAGGGGCGCCCCCTGCCTGGACGCCCGTTAGGGTCCGCCCCCCAATCCTAGGGGAACAAAAAGTGACATAAACATAAAAACTCGGAGGTCCGCGCGGATTTCTCGGATCCGCGCTGGACCCCCTAAGTCCAGCCCGCCATGGCCCGCCCGCCCCACCCGACTGCGGAGGTCCGCCCGCCCCGCCCGCCCGTCATCGCCCCGCCCGCCCAAGCCGCTCGAGAAGGGAGGAGGGAGGAGGGAGGAGGGAGGAGGGAGGCGGAGTACGCCCAGAAAGAAGCTGGCGCCGCGGAAACGCCCTCCCAGGAAGCGGCAGGAGTCAGGGGGCTGGGGGTACATATAAGTATACATGTCCACTGACATGCGGGCAGCCGAGACGGATCAGCCTTAGGATGACTGTTCCCCAGACGTGATCATTGGGGCTGTTCTGCAGGAACCCTTCGCAGGAACCAGAAAGCCCACCTTTTTCATTATCATCGTCACCTTCAGGGTCATCATCGTCACTGTTATTACTGCTGACAGTATCAGGATTATCACCATAGCCAATCGTCATCATCATGACCGCCATCAAGCCTGATATCATCATGGTTCACATCAGCAACATCTGAATTTCATGAGCAGGAGCCTCCTCTGTTCCGCCGTGAGAGGACTGGGAGAAAGTCTCGAGCGAGAGCCCCCCTCCGTCTGCGGGGCCCCCACGTTGCGTCTCGAGTCTGAAGCCTAGTGCAACCCCAGCACGCAACGTCCCAAGGAGACCCCCGAGAGTGAAGGGGCCCTGGGACACACAAAGAAATACACACACACAAATAACCAGAATCCCCATAGTTCCCCATATCTTCGGGGTTTTTTGTCTCCCCCCCACTTCCCATAGCTTCCCATCTTTCCTAGGGAATCGAAGATTAATTGTGTCTATGTGTTCTGTTCCCCTCCTGAACTCCCCGGACCTATCCCGGGGTGCGTCCTGACCAGGATTCCGAGGGCATCCAGCGGCGGCGACGACGGCCACCCGGGAGGCCCGGACGGGGGGAAGCGAGGGAAGGGTAGCGGTGTCGACGCCTCCTGAGAGAGCCCCCACGCACTCAGACTTCAGGGGCAGACAGCACGCGGTGCCTCCTTGCAGCTTCGCGTCTGACGTGTGCCTCTCTCCGTTGTGGAGCCGCAGCGTCGCCCAGGAGAGAGCCCCCCGCGAGAGAGCTGCGCGGGAGCGGCCCAGGGCGGCCCTCAAGAGAGAGCTCCCCCCGGCACCGCCGAGAGGGCTCCCGGCCGGCGGCGTGGCGAGCCCCGAAGGGGCGAGGCGATTGAGGTTCACGCAAAACTTGATCGATAGCCTTGAAGATTTCCACGCGGAGGCTGCAAGAAGCTTCCAAAAGATTCTCAGGGCAAACGGCACACACTTGGTCATGGTTGACTCCTGTCGTCGTCGTCGTCCTTCTCCTCGTCATTCTCCTCGTCCTCGTTGATGTCGTCGTCAGCGCCATCCTTCTCCTGTATCCTCCTGCTATTGCTTCCTCCTTCTACATGCACCTCACTCTTTCACATCCTCCCTCATCCCCGTTCTCCGTCGCCACTTCCGTCTCCGCATCCTCCTGCTCCTCCTCCTCGTTCGCCCTCAACTCAACAATCTTACCCGTGTGGCTGCCCACGCTAACTCCAAGCTTGAGCCAGACGGCTGACTCACCTCACCAGGCTGTTCCACGCGAGGCTCCTAAGCTTCCCTGATCAGAACAAGCTTGCCTAACAAGCGTCTCTGGATGGGCTGGGCGGGGGTACAGTGGGGGCAGATCCACAAGAAGCCTTCCACAAGACACCCAACCATGAGACCCCAAGACGTCCCTTGTTTGTTGGTGTGGGAGCGTCACGCTTTCCCTGGCAAAACCATCGAAACCTGGGGCACCCTGAAAGCAAGCAGCGTGTTGTTTGGGCATGGGCCCCCACTGTACGCGAAGCGTCGATACCGAACCAGAAAAGGCAGCCAGCCCGCTCGGGCGCCGCGCGCGGCTGCCTCGGGCGGCGTGCCGCGTGGCGAACACCTCCGACTGCGGCTCCTTGCGGGGAGCCATCGCAGAGCAGCAGGCCAACGACGTAGAGGGGATGCAAGGCTAGGTAGGGCTGGACCTCAACGTTGTTTTTCGTGTTGGTTTCGTGTTGTTGTTCGGTTTGCTCTACCTGTTTTCCTGTACCTTCCCTGCCAAAGCGACCAACAAAACACAGCCGATGTCCAGCAAAACAGCGTTTAGGTCCTGCCCTGATAGAGGGGATGCAAGGCTCAGGAAAAGTGACCATTGGACGTCCCAACTGAAACAGTCGTAGCAGCGCCAGGCCCGAAACCCGAGCGAACCGATGAGGGAAGAACGCAAGGGCGCTTTGCCAAGAGGGAATATTGAATCCATACTACTAGAGTTGAAATCTCATGAGGTGGCGGTGGGTCATTTGTCTGGCATCGGGGATGGCCTCAACAGGCCACAGCGAGGTTCACCGCCAGAGGTGGCCTTCTTACGGCGATGGCCAACCTGGCTGGGACGAGCCCTGCGGGGGGGAGGTTGGGCGCCGCCGCTCCCCCACTGGTGCCGCCACTGCTGCTAAAAATGAGAACGCCTGCTGCCGGTGTTTCGTCCTCCTCCTCCTCCTGCTCCCCCTCCTCCTCTTCCTCCTCTGCCTCCTCCTCATCATCATCGTCATCATCATCATCATCATCATCATCATCATCATCATCATCATCACCATCACCATCACCATCACCATCACCATCACCATCATCATCATCATCATCATCATCATCATCATCATCATCATCATCATCATCATCATCATCTTCATCATCATCATCATCATCATCAACATCACCTGCTCCCTCTCCTTCTCCTCCTCGTCTTCCTCCTTCTCCTCCACCATCTCATCATTATCATCATAATCATAATTCGCATCATCATCATCATCATCATCATCATCATCATCATCATCATCATCATCATCATCATCATCATCATCATCATCATCATAACAATCACCATCATCATCATCGTCATCGTCATCATCATCATCGTCATCATCATCATCATCATCATCATCACCTGGCCTACTTCAGCTCTCGAGATCGAGACGCGGTTGCGACCTGTTTTTCGCTTCCCCGGGCGCCGGCGCAACGTAGTGCGGAGACGCGGCAAGCACCGCAAGGGCAAACACACATCGAGCAAAACAAAAATGATGGGGACGAACTGGAGGAGGAGCTTGGGCGAGGGAGAAGCGGAGAGGCGGAACAAAAATAGGAAGAGGGCGAAGCAAGCCAAGCCGAACGAATCAGCGCGCCCCGCCAACACCCGGAGTTTCCCGAATAACGTGGGAAGCGCAAGGGTGGTGCATTTTGAGATTGAGACTGGGTTGCATTCCCACTTGGCGAACAGGCAGAAGATATTCGCTCGCGGTCCCGCCTCCGACGACGCAGCAAGAAGGAAACGCGGATCGCGCGTGTGCAAGAGCGGAGCTTCTAGAACAAATCTGCGCGGCGGTGCGGCGGAATACACAATCTCGCCTTCTCTCGGCAGGTCAAGTTTCCATTGAATGCGGTGACGAAGCATTCGCCGCGCCAACACTGCACTGCCACTCTCACGCAAGATCCGCACGACGCTCTGGCGAAAACCAGATTTCGCCCGCCATCGCGCGGCCCCGCTACCATTGCCGATTTCGGCGAACGAAGAATATGCGTCAGGGCGAGATCTGTACACATCTGGGGCAAGCGCGACACTTCGCCCGCTCGCCCGCAACATCGCCCCCCCAAGACTTGGCGAGTGATGAATACAATGCCCTGGAGGGGGAGTTCCACTTAGCCGCTCCCGCGCGACACCGGTGTAAACGAAACGTGCGCGCTGCTCCCAAGCGGGAATGTATTTCTCAGGAGAAGCGAACACGGTCCCAGTTTGTTTTTTCGCACTGGATGTGGGCCACGAATTTCGCAACGTCGAGGACGGAATGTCCATTCTGAGATCAAACGTGTCGACGCTGTACTGTTCCTGTGCACCTGGGATGGAAACGCTTGGATGGCCCCAGCCATCGTTGGGCCAGGCTGCAGAATGAAACCGTGCGAGAACAATGAATTGGGAACCTTGGAGCCAGAGAGGACCGAGAAGCGAACCCACGCATCAGGACCGCCTCGCGAAGAATACTGCCTCTTTGCGAAACGGGCCGCCCTCCGCCCCCACGCGCGGTGACCAACCTCCGCGCGTGCAGGGGGGGCCGCTCGCTCATCGGCAAAGAACCCACGCAACATGGTCGAGGTACGGGTCAACGCCTTGTCGCCCCACGACTCGCTACCCATACGTGACAGCGGTGGTTGTTCGTAGGGGGACGGTCGGCTCACCTCCTCACCGTGAGGTCCTCCCCGACGATCAACCCCTGCCAAAACATCTGACACGTGCAACTGGTTTGGCACCCCAGGGCGACTAGGCACGAAGGCCCCGTGGGACTTCTGGACCGCACGGCCCCGCCACCCCACCGAATGCACAATCCCCGCGCCCGGAACCTCAAGGTGGCCCCAGCGTGACTGGGTAGCGGAACGCCACGGCCCCTGGCAGGGTGCCGCGGGGCGGGGCCCGAAAAGACGAGCCGGCAAGCATGCTGACACCAAGCCGTGAAGCGTACATGGCATGATCGATGTCCCCCCAGCGTAGGGCCGAGCAGCAGGATACGGGACCCAGCAGAGCAGTCACCGCCCCCCGCCGCGGGGAGAAGAAAGAATAGGGGTACGGGAAGGCGGATGAGAAATCAGAGGAGAGGAGGAGGAGGAGGAGGAGGAGGAGGAGGAGGAGGAATAGGGCACTCACGTGTGCAACTGCTGGATGCTTGCGGGCGGGCACTGCCATGCAGTAAGGATGCGTAGATCTGGCGCGTGGGCGCCGGATCCATGGGTCGGGGGGGGGGGGAACAACGCCCCGGAACGTGAGGCCACTGCCGCCTGATTTGGCCACGGAGCGCGCAAACTCTGTACGGAGACGGGGCCCGTCGCGGATAAGCACGACTGATTCCATCTCTGCTACTCCTCGATGAACCAACTGGGTTCATGTGCGCCTCCCCCTGTCTCCTGCCAACCCTGCGAGCGGAAGAACTCATCGACGGCGGTGTGCGCCTGGCGATGGGCAGCGAAGGGCGTTGGCAGGAGCGCTGCCAGGCCAGCCCGGGCACGCGGCCGCACTCCCTGCATCTCCCCACTCTCCTCGTGCTCCACGATGCGGCGGAGAGAAGAGGACGGGGACGACGGCTGCGGACCTCCGAGCTTTGTATGCTTATGCCATTATTCGTTCCCCTAGAGAGGGGGAGGAAGAGGGTGGTGGTGGGCACAGGCTTCGGCTTCGTCCGAGGCATCCTCTCAAGTCCCCAAACTGTGCGGCGACCCCGAATCCCCGCCGGCTCACCACACGCTGCGCCCACCATCCCGTGGAGGGGCCCCGGGGTGGGTGGGCTGGAGGCCTCCTTGATGGGGTCCGAGCAGATGGGGTCGGCGGATCACACCGCCTCGGCGATGCATCGGCGTTGCATCGGCGATGCATCGGCGATGCATCGGCAGCGCATCGGCAGCGCATCGGCGACGCCGGGATGGAGAACAGTGGGCGCCACATCGAGCCGCATCGCCGATGCATCGGCGATGCGGCGCGATCCTCCGACCCCATCTAACCGTCGAGGGTCTTTCATGATGCCCCCCCCCCCCTGAGCTCTCGGCGGGGAAAAGAAACTCGTCCCTCCTCCTCCTCCTCAACACCCGGAGAGGAGGAGGAGGAGGAGGAGGATGAGGAGGAGGAGGAGGTTTACTAAAGACCCTTTGGGCTTACTCCGACCCCATCGATCGGTGACTCCAAAGGCACCCGGGGGTGCACCGTGGGGAGCGGGCGGGTGCCTCGATAGAGAGTCCTCCGCCGCGCGTCCCGAGGCGGCCCGGCGAGGACCGCGTCGTGCCCTCTGGGCCCCCGCGGCGCCGATCGCAAACCACACGCCGGCGTGGCCGCACCCTTGGCAGTCGCCGATAGGAGGCCTGGATCCAAGTCGGGCGTGTCCCCCTACAGGGGGATTTTCGACGAAAGCTAAGAAGTGCATCAAAAATATTCAAACATGGTCAGACAGTACTCAACAGGTAGTCCCCCGACTATCTTCCATCTTTGAATACTCCCCCTGTAGAGGGGCAGGCCCGACTTCAGCCTAGATGGGCACAGGCTTCGGCGGTCATCCGCATGCCCGGGCCCAGGGCCCCCGGTGCAGGAGGAGGAGGAGGAGGAGGAGGAGGAGGAGGAGGAGGAGGGGGAGGAGGAGGGGGGAGGAGGGAGGAGGAGGAGGAGGAGGAGGAGAGAGGAGGAGGAGGAGGAGGATGAGGGAGGAGGAGGAGGAGGAGGAGGAGGAGGAGGAGGAGGAGGAGGAGGAGGAGGAGGAGAGGAGGAGGAGGAGGAGGAGAGGAGGAGGAGGAGGAGGAGGAGGAGGAGGAGGAGGAGGAGAAAGGGGGAGGGGGGGAATGAGGAGGAGGAGGAGGAGGAGGAGGAGGAGGAGGAGGAGGGGAGGAGGAGGAGGAGAAAGGGGGAGGAGAGGAAGAGGAGAGGGAGGAGGAGGAGCAGGAGGAGGAGAGGAGAGGAGGAGGAGGGAAGGAGGAAGAGGAGGAGAGAAGGGGGAGGAGCATCTGGCTGCCGCGGGCGGCTCGCCCCCGACGGCGCCGCACGCCCGCTCGGGCGCGCACGGCACATGCCCCCGAGGAGGACGCGGGGGGGCAGGAGGAGGGCGGGGGGAGAGCGGGAGCGAGAGGAGGGAGAGAGGATGGGAGGGAGGGGAAGGAGAGACGATGGGCACCCTGGGCACCATCGTCACGCCCTCTGGGCACCCTCACGACACCCCAGGACCCTCAGACGACCTCGGCCGGACTCTTACGCACTCCTCCTTTCCTCCTCCTCCTCCTCCTCATCCTTCGACGAGGCCTGTCAGGACACTCCAAACTTTCTAGCCTTTGAACCTTACTCCCGAGATGCATATCCGTGAATATTCTCCTTTCGTGCCCCTGATCTGGATTAATCAAGATGCCTCTGAATTCGTCTTTGCATGAAAGACTTCTTTACCTCTCGATATGCCCCACCATGGGCGAGCATACATCCGTGAAAAATCATCGATGCTTCCCACTCCGCGTGGCACCTCTCGGTATCAGCAGGTGCCCCGCATACCTTCTCCGCTCATGGCCCAGGGGGCCCGCAGAAGCCCCGGGGCACCCGAGGAAACCCAGAGCTCGTCGGCAGAGGGGGCCTTCGGACCGAGTGCAGCTAACGCCTCGGTGATCAGACGTTGGTGCCACTCTGTTGGCCCAGTTCTGCACCTCTCGCCCAGCTGCCGCCGTGCCCTCACGGCACGCTGCAGCGTGGTCGAGTGCCAAAGGCCACCAAGCAAAGTTTTCCTTTCCTCCCACCCTTCCTGCGTTGGGCTCTCGTTTTGAATACAGTCGGCCTTGATTGGACAGGACACGCGAGAGGACACAAGACCCTTCCGAGGGCCACATCGCCATAGGAATGTCGCGAGGCACAGGACACAAGGGTACCCTTGAGCTGGCAGGGTCGACCTACTAATCCGGGCCGACTGTAGAGCACTGTGGTCGCATCCTCCTTCCTCCCGCCTCCATCTCCACTTCTCTCCTGCCTCTCACCCTGCTCCCTCCTGCGCGCTAGCTCGCCTCCTGCCTGGCCATCCCTGGGGGCTGAGGTCTGCAAAACCGTCGCCACGTTCGAGGGCTGCTGGGGGGGCCAGCGGAGTGGGGTCCCACGCAGATTCAACTTCGACCTCGCCATCCTTGGGGGGCTGCGATCTGCGAAAATGTCGCCACTTTCGAAGGCTGCTGGGGGGGCCAGCGGGGTGGGGTCCTACGCGAACTCAGATTAGACCTCGCCATCCCTGGGGGGCTCCGATCTGCGAAACGGTCGCCACTTTCGAGGGCGCGGGCAAGTGGAATTGGGTCCCACGCAGGTTCAGATTAGACTTCCTCATGCCTGGGGGCTGCGAGCTGCGAAACTCTCGCCGTTTTCGAAAGTTGCTGGGGGGGGCAGCGGAGTGGGGCCCCACGCAGATCCAAATTTGACGTCGCCATCCGTGGGGGGCTGCGACCTGCGAAATTGTCGCCACTGTCGATGGTTGCTGGTCGTTCCAGGGGCCGACGTCCTACGCAGACGCAAATTCGACCTCCTCATCCCTGGGGGGCCGCGATCTGCGAACATATCGCCACTTTCGAGGGCTGTTGGGGGGTCCACCGGATGACCTCTTACGCAGATTCAGATTTGACCTCGCCATCCCAAGGGGGTTGCGATCTGCGAAACCGTCGCCACTTTCAAAAGGTGTTGGGGGTCCTGCGAGTGACGTCATGCGCAAATGCAGACTGGACCCCGTCATCCCTGGGGGGGATGAGATCTGCGATACGGTCGCCACTTTCGACGGTCGCTGGGCGTCCAGCGGAGCGACGTCCTACGCTGATTCCGATTCGGTTTCGTAACCCCTGGGGGGGCTGCGAAATGCGAAACCCTCGCCACTGTCGAGGGCCGCTGGGGGGGGGGGCAGCGGAATGACGTCTTACGCGGACCCGAAATCGACCTCGCGATCCTCGGGGGGCTGCGATCGGCGAAGCTGTCGCCATTTTCGAGGGTTGCTGGGGGGTCCAGCGGAGCGACGTCTTACGCAGATGCAGACTCGCCATCGCCACCCCTGGGGGGGCTGCAATCTGCGAAACCGTTTCCGCATTCGACGGCTGCTGGGGGGGTCCAACAGGGTGACGTATCACGCGGACTCGAAGTCGCTCTCGCCATCGCTGGGGGCTGCGATCTGCGACTGCGTCGCCACTTTCGAGGGTTGCTGGGGGTCCATCGGAGCGACGTCCCACGCGGACTCTTGATCGACCTTGCCATCTTTGAGGGGCTGCGATCTGCGAGACAGCCGCCTCTTTCGACGGCTTTTGGGGGTCCAGCGGAGTGGCGTCTTACGCGGGCTCAAATGAGACCTCGCCGTCCCTGGGGGTGCGAAGCTGTCGCCACTTTCGAAGGCTGCTGGAGGGTCCAGCGGAGCGAAACACAACCCAGACTCATATTGGACCTCGTCATCCCCGGGGGGCTGCGATCTGCGATGCTGTCGCCACTTTCGAGGGCTGCTGGGGGGGTCAGAGGAGTGGAGCACCACCCAGACTCAGATTAGGCCTCGCCATTCTGGGAGGGCTGTGGTCTGCGGAACTCATGCCACTTTCGAAGGTTACTGGGGGGTCCCTCGGCGCGCTGTCGCGGGCCGCCCGCAGACCTGGCGGCGCGCCTTCGAGCGTTTAGCTCTCGCACTGAAAGGTACAGGAAGGATGCAGGTAAGCTGGCGGGCGAGCTAGGCATCGCTCGCTCCTTGCAGTGACACCACGCAAGGTTAATCATTTTGTCGGGCGCGGCGGCGCCATGGCGCAGGCAGCGCTGCATCTATAGCGTATTGCTGACAAAACGCAACACTCTTCGGTCTCCTTCCGTCACTTTCGTCGTCGTCCTCTGCCCCCTGCCTCCTTCCCTCTGCTGCTGCCGCGTTGACGGTGCGGCCCGGCCCTTCGCTCCCGCCGCCGTGTCCTCAAACCTGGACCCTCGCTCCTCGTTCTTCTGTTTTTGTTGTGCGAATCGTGCCACGTGAGCGCCACCATACGCAGCTTGCACGACGTATAACGGCGCCTGCACTGTCACTGTACTGGCAAATTTGGGTCAACTCTTCTTGTCACTTGATGCAAATGGGCTGGGTACGTCGCAAGGTAATGTATTCTAAAGACCCCTCTACTAGCAGAATGCTGCCACTAACAAAAAAGCATGGATCTGCGCTCTTGAGCCCAGGGTGGCCCCAAGACGGCGCAAGATGCCTTCAAGAGGACCCAAGAGAACCACATCATGACTTCAACAAGGGCCCGAAGAAACAAGGCTTGCTCTGATGATGTTCGCATCTCGCCGTCTCGAGCGCCCGTCAACCAAAGACGCCCCACGAAGCCTCCAACATGCCAACATGGCCCTCAGGCGGCCGAAGGCCGAAGAGGCCCCCAAGAGGGTCCAAGGATGGCCCAAGAGGGCACCATGATGGCCGAAGAGGCTTCCACGTCGCACCAAGAAAGGCATCCCGAGACCTCGACGGAGGCCTCCGGAGGCCTTCGACGGCCCAATGCGGTGCCAAAATGGCCCTACGACGGCCCCAAGACACCCTCCACACGGCCAAGAGGCCCCGAATACGGCCGAAGAGAGCCTCAACCGGCCTAAGACCCCAGTGCGGCTCAAGAGAGCCCCTAGATCGCCCCAGGGGAACCCGTAAGAATGCCCAGCAGGAGCCCAAGGCAGCCACAAAACGATCCAGATGAGCTCCATAAGAACTCCTCAAGAAGTGAAGGCGAACGGCCTTCCTCTTCATCAGAACTTCCATCATCTTCAACAACCTCTTCACGCCTCTCCCAAGCGCGGGCACACAAGGTGTCACACACGACGGCCTCACGCGTCCGCTCGAACAATTGCCAACAAAACTGCTGGGATGACACGGTGGCGGGACTTGCCGCAGGTGGCTGGAAAAACTAACAGACGTCCCGAACCTGCAGCGGAAATATGTACAACGCAGCTAAGGAATACTACGAGGCATGGTGTCTAGACAACGGCGGACACGTCCCTCCCCCGCTCCCACCATGGTGGATAAAAGCAATAAACAGGACATGCAACAAACAAAGCAGAGCGCATCGGACAGGGCGCCGCCTCAGCCACCGAGTCTGGGGTGCCTGACAGCGTCAACATGCAGGAGTCCTTGTTGACCTCGGAGGTCGCCCCTTTCGCTCTCGAAAATCAAAGACTTCATCTCCTCCGCTTTCACCGCCTCCTCCAAGCCCTTCCTCTGGTCTGGCACATCATGGCAAGCAGGTATCACTCTTCATGCTCATCCTGGAACTGTCGCACTGTCGCCATGACGATCCCCCTTGACGCCCATCGAGGCCAAGACCCTTGGAGCTTCGGGGGATCTGTTCACCTGATGTGCGTGGGGGTGGCACAGACGCAAGTGCTGAACCTGCTGCTGATGTAGGCGTGCTTCGAGCTGCTCACCACTGCTCTTCCGGCACTCGTCCCCGCATCTCCCATCGCCCCCGACATGATCTCCGCCTCTTGCACGCCCGCCCTTCCTGTGCATCCTCCTCCTCCTCCTCCTCCTCCTCCTCCTCCTCCTATTCCTCCTCCTCCTCCTCCTCCTCCTCCTCCCCCTCCTCCTCCCCCTCCTCCTCCTGCTCCTCCTCCTCCTCCTCCTCCTCCTCCTCCTCCTCCTCCTCCCTGTCCTCCTCCCTGTCCTTCTCCGTGCCCCTGCTGGCTCCCTCGCAGCCTGCAGCGGCTTCCCTGACCACCATCGCACCAGAGTGGCTCCATCCTCTTGCAAGATGCTCCTGGCGCCTCGTCCTCCTCCTCCTCCTCCTCCTCTCCCGTCCTCCTCCTCCTCGTCCTCCTCCTCCTCTTCCTCCTCCTCCTCCTCCTCCGCCTCCTCCTCCTCCTCCTCCTCCTCTTGAGAAGCCTTTTTGCCAAGCATCGGACACCTCCAATCGCAAACCAGACGTTCGCGAGAGCATCGGAAAATACGAAAACCTCCGAAGCGCCTCCGAAGACCTATCATTACGCTACCGAGGAGACCCACATACTTATTTATATATATATATATATATTATGGCTGGAGTGATGATAGCCTCCGTCTCCTCCTCCTCTTCCTCGTCCTCTCCCCCTCGCCATTGATATACTGACCAGGATGCCCCCCTTTGGCATCGAGGTCTCCGATACGCTGCGGCAGCCATCAAGCAACCGAACCGACTGGCTGCTCTGCAAGCCCGCTGGGCCGACAACATTCCCATACCGCCTCGGCGACCCAGTGTTGCAGCGCGCAACGCGCCCATCCACAGCTCGCCACGCCAGCGTGCCACGCTGACGACCCCGAGGTATTACCAAATCGTGCTGGGAGCTCGGCATATGACGACCCAGAATGTTGAGACGCCAGGACGACGCGGCAGGGAAGAAAACCAGAACCCCACGAAACATGCTCGGATAGCGGCCGCGCTCAGGGACCACCTCCTGCGCACCCCCTACGGCGTCGAGAAAGTGCCACGCCTGCTATGCCCTGGACGACCGGCTCGGATAGCGGCCGCGCTCAGGGACAAGACCCCGGCGCACCCACTACGGTGTCGAGAAAGTGCCACGCCTGCTAGGCCCTGCGAAATGGGCGCGTATAGGGAGACCACCCTCTGCGCACCCCCTCTGGTGTCGAGAAAGTGCCGCGCCTGCCCTGTGTGCTCTGCTGTGCTGAGCTGTGCGGTGCAGTGCTGTGCCGAGCTGAGCTGTGCTGAGCAGAGCTGTGTTGTGCTGCGCTGTGTTGTGAAGTGTGCTACGCGTGTCTCATGTACGTGCCGTTCAGGTGTTGCGCGTGGGTGAGGGAGTGTTTGTGTGTGTGTGTGTGGGTGTTTGTGTCTGTGCGTGTCTGTGTGTCTGTGTGTGTATGTGTGTGTGTGTGTCGGTGTGTCTGTGTATGTATGTATGCATGTATGCATGTATGCATGTATGCATGCATGCATGTATGCGTGTATGCATGTGTGCATGTATGCATGTATGCATGTATGCATGTATGCATGTATGCATGCATGCATGCATGTATGCATGTATGCATGTATGCATGTATGTATGCATGTATGCATGTATGCATGCATGTATGCATGTATGCATGCATGTATGCATGTATGCATGCATGTATGTATGTATGTATGTATGTATGTATGTATGTATGTATGGTTGTATGGTTGTATGGTTGTATGTAGGTGTGTACATGTATGTATGTATGTATGTATGTATGTATGTATGTATGTATGTATGTATGTTGTATGGTTGTATGCATGCATGCATGCATGCATGCACGCATGCATGTATGTTTATGTATGTATGTAGGTGTGTGTATGTATGTATGTATGTATGTATGTATGTATGTATGTATGTATGCATGTGTGTATGTGTGTATGTGTGTATGTGTGTATGTGTGTATGTGTGTATGTGTGTATGTATGCATGTATGTAGGTAGGTAGGTAGACAGGCAGGCAGGCAGGTGGGTAGGTATGTATGTAGGTATGTATGTGTGTATGCATGTATGCGTGCATGTATGTATCTATGTATGCATGCATGCATGCATGCATGTCTGTCTGTCTGTCTGTCTGTCTGTCTGTCTGTCTGTCTGTCTGTCTGTATGTATGTATGTATGTATGTATGTTTGTCACGTCTGCCACGCTTTGCCGGAGAGGCGTGTGCGGGTGTGAGACGCGGGTGCGACGCGGCAGGGAAGAAAACCAGAACCCCACGAAACATGTGGGGGGAAACGCAGAAAAACATGTCCGAACCACATCTACAATGCACCCTATATCAGGACAGATGATGACAGCGGCGTGCACGAGCAGGTACATCGTGCCGCAGAGATAAATCAGACAGAAGCCTGCAGAACATCAGCACTGCTTGCACCCCAGGGGCATACTGGGAGGGCTTCTCTGATGACCGCACACGGCCCGGGGTGCTTCGTGGGCCGTGTAGAGCCCATCTGGGCCCTGCGGCCATAGCGTTAAGTCGGACCTGTCCCCCTACAGGGGAATTCTCGACGAAAACTAAAAAATACACAAACAATAATAAAAAAAAACAAAAATAGCCTGGGGACTATTTTTTTGAGTATGGTTTGGCCTTCTTGGGGTATGTTTGGTGTATTTTTTATGCTTCGTCGAAAATCCCCCTGTAGGGGGACACGCCCGACAGAACCATAGCGTTTCTTCGCGGCCCTCTTGGGCCACCTGGGACGGCTTTCGGTCCGAATTTCAGACTGGGGGGGTGACCCAGGAGCCACCCGGGCTGGGGAACCTACCGAAAGAGGGTGGCTGCTGCGCGGGGCCCCAGGCGCAGGTTTTCCGCCAAAGGCGTGCGAGAATTTACGAGAGAGCGCGTTTCACAGGCGCTTGACTGAGAAAAGTGCCCACCCACCCCCCGCTGGAAACCCAGGGGGGGGGGGACGGGTAAACTCCCCCGCCGCCCCGGGGGTCCAGACTGGGGGCGGGGGGAGGGAGCCCCCCTCCTCGGAGTCCAGAAAGAGGGGTTGGGGGGGTCAGAGTCCCCCCCCCCCCTCTGGGCTTGAACCTGGGGGGGCGGAGGTGGGGGGGAGGGGGCAACGGACGTCGGGCACGATGCCGACGACGCCGACGCTGACGCCGACTATGCCGAGCACGACGCCGAGCACGACGCCGAGCACGACGCTGACAACGACGCCGATGCCGACGACGACTACGCCGACGCCGACGTAGAGTACGACGCCGAGCACGACGCCGCCGTTTGAGTCGACGACAACGATGCCGACGCCGACGCCGCCCACAACGACAACAACGACGCCGACGCCGACCACGATGCAGACGACGCCGACGCCGACGCCCACGCTGACGACCACTACGCGGACGCCTACGCTGACGTCGACGCTAAGCACCACGCCGAGCACGACGCCGAGCACGACGCCGAGCACGACGACGAGAGCGACGCCGAGCCCGACGCAGACGCCGATGCCGACGACAAACACGACGCCGACGCCGACGAAGAGCACGACGCCGAGCACGACGCCGACGCTGGGAACGACGCCGAGCGCACGACGACGATGCTGACCCTGGCAACGACGACGACGTCGTTGACACCGAACACGTCGCAATCGTCGTCGCACCCTCCCGGGGTTCAAACCCAGGGGGGGCTCTCCCCCCCCCCTTCGGGTTCGAACCGGGAGGACATTTCCCCTCCCACTCCCGCCCCCCGCGGAGTCCCAACCGGGGCGGGGCCCTATAAGCGACTACAGAAAGCGCTCTTTCAGATTTATTTGAAAATATACACAGAAGGAGGCCCCCGAGGCCGACGCCGCCGACGACGACGACGACGCCGACGCCGACAACGACGGCGACCAGCGCCAACACCGACACCGACTCCGACACTGGCGCTGGCGCCGACGCCGTCGCCGAGCGCGACGTCGACGACGCAGACGCCGACAACGACGCCGGCGCAGGCGCTGGCGCCGACGAAGAACACGACGCCAAGCACGACGTCGACCACGAGGTCGACGACACCGACGCCAACGCCGCCACTGACGACGACGACGACGCCGACGCCGAGCACGACGCCGAGCACGACGCCGACGCCGGCGACGAACGAACGACGAAGACGACGACGACGACGCCGAGCACGTCGCCGAGCACGACGCCGATCACGACGCAGACGACGCCGACGCTGACAACGATGCTGACTCTGTCGCCGACGGGCGCCAACGCCGACACACGACGCCGAGCAAAGCGCCGCATACGACGCAAAGCATGACGCCGACGCCGATGCCGAGAATGAGGACGACGACGATGCCCGGCGCCGAAACCGACACCGACGCCGACACCGACGCTGGCGCCGACGCCGACGCCGAGCACGACACCGACGCGGACGTCGACGATGACAACGACTACGACGATGACGACGCCGACGCCGAGAACGCCGCCGAGCGCACGACGCCTATGCTCACCCTGGCGACGATGACGACGACGTCGACGACGCCGAGCACGTCGCCGTCGTCGTCGCACCCTTACTGGGTCCGAGGATTCGAACCCATGCGGGGCTCTCCCCCCCATTCGGGTTCGAAGCGCGTGGGGGGACATTTCTCCTTGCTCCCACGCCCCCCCCCGGGGTCCCAACCTGGGTGTGTCCGTATCAGCGACTCCAGAAAGCGCTCTTTCACTATGATGTAT